GTGAATGACTGTTTTCTGAGCAGGCTCTGCGTACATTTAGAAACACTCAGTTTCTTTTTCCTCAGAGATTGGACTCTTGTAAATTTTGAGCTGAAATAAATGTTATGATTTTTTTAGATTTATAAAATGTAAAGAAGAATGAAATTAAAATAATTTTTTATTATAAAATCCTATGCTACATTTAGATTTTGTCATCCATGTTTGTAGAGATTATCTTATTCGTACCCAGTAATTGATTACAATGCCCAGAATCTAGCAGATGTATGCATCTCTATCCTAAATTTAAAAAGCCAGCACTTACTGGGGTCAGCAGGCAGTGTGGTGGTTAAGGTGATGGACACTCCTACATGGCTGAGCATGGTTCGAGTCCTAGACCTGGTGGCTTGCTTTCTCACTTTCCCTCTCTGTGTGTGTGTGTTTTTTCTGATTAAATTAAAATAAATAAACGAAAAAGTAAAATTAAATAAGTAATTCTAAAAAAAAAAAAACTATCATGAAGCATTCTTTGAATCCATATTTTCTCATCAGTAAAAGGAGATAGAGACATTCCTCTTATATAGTGAATCAGTATCAGTGTGTTTAGCTGTAAGTAATATAAAATGTGAATGATCCTAAAGCAGTACCTGAAATCTATTACTGAGTCTAGAGGTGGATGGCTATGGGCATGAACTCAAGGGTACAATGCTGACATCTCTGCAGTTTTTCTAATCTGTCCTTAATAATATTGTTTCACATTGCAAAATGGTCACTGCAATTCCAGCTATCATAGCCTATCCAGGGCAATGAAAAAGGACAAAGGAGACAAATGTGTTTGCTCCCTTTATCAGCAAATCAAAACTGGTTTTTAGAAATGCTTAGCAATTTCTGTTGTCTTCTCAGCCAGTACTCTGATACACAGATACCTATCACTAGAAAGGAGTCTAGGGTAGCAAGAAAATGAAGAGATCCTTCTGATGACTCAGAGAAATAGTGATGTTTTGTCTGGATTTGGGCATATTTTCTGTCCAAATAAAAAATGGCTATTGAGTAACTGTCTAACAGTATTCACTATAAGGGGTTATAATAAAAGTAGAGACACTATTATAACCTTATCAAAAACACAACAAGTGATTAACAAGCAGTAGGTCTGATGCATGCAATAACAATAAATGTAAAGTAGTAAATAAATAGTAAACATTAGACTGAAATGAGTTTAAGTATGTATAAGTGTTAGTACAACTGCTGTTCTATGGATATAAGAGATTTGTTTCATTTGTACAAAATGTTCATTGAAAAACATAATAGCATTCATCTCTACAAAAATAGATGAAAATTCACCTTTGAAGCTGACTTCATTAATTTTAGGAAAACAACTGGGCTGCTTTAAGAAACTACTGTAGATGGGTGGCTTAAGCCACAAACATGTATTTCTTTTTTTTTTTTTTTTTTTTTTTTTTTTTTTTTTTTTTTTTTTTTTTTTTTTTTTGGAGAGGATTTTCGCTATAGGGCGTGTGCGCTTGCCAGACAGACAGAGAGAGACATAGAGACAGAAAGCGAGAAATTACCCCCCAGAGGGGATGGTCCCACCGCAATCCCTTCTCCTCCATTCTCCTCGCGGGATCTTGGGCACGCACGCACACGCACCCGGCGTGAGGTTTAAGCCACCGGGTCTGGGATGTGAACCACGGTCGACTAAGTGAGAGTCCAGCAACATAGCCATTACGCTAACTGCTGGTTCCCCAAACATGTATTTCTCATAGTTCTGGAGACTGGAAAGTCCCAGATCAAGACCTCAGCAGTTTCAGTGTCTGATGGGGCCTTCTTCAGGTTATAGGTGGCCAACTTTCTGTTGTATCTTCAAGTGGCAGAGAGAAGGCTAGAGGAGCCTTCTGGATCTCTTTTATAAGGACATTAATCCTATTCATAACAGCTTCACCTTCATGATTTAATTACCTTTCAAATAAAGGCCCTACCTCCTAATACCATCCCAGTGGAGTTTAGGATTTTAAATACATGAATTTGAGGGTAGAAGGAAGACAAGTCTTTAGTCCTTATGTCTACAATTCTGGAAAAGGGAAACTCCTTAGGTAGATGGAATTCTACTGTTACTCCCACATAACAAAGGGTATATAACCATAAATATTATGGATAAATTAGATTTGAAACACAGGAAATAATCTATTCCCAATCTTTCTATTTGAAGTTGAGAGTTGCTAGATTGACTACTGTAAATTAGAGAGGTGGTCTAGACTCAACTCCGAAGTCTAGAGTACTCAAGTAAAAAGAAACTCTGAGTGAATAATAGAATTGTGAAGCTAGTTATGAGTATGCCATGAGAAAATATCTATGCTTGTGAATTGAAAACATAGGTCACTAATAACTTATGTTAAATTGTATGAGGCATACTTTAGAGGAAAAAAAATGTTCTACTTTAAATACTGAATTCTTTTTCACAATAAAGGAAAAAGTAATTAATAAGCCAAGGAAGTATCTTATAATTATACAAGAAGCAGTATAAACAATGGGTTCTCTAGGAGTTTAGGTGGTTGGAAATATCTTTCCAGGAAAGTGTGCTTAAAGGACCCATAAATAAGACCGAAGTTGAGAGAAGCAAATAATAGATATGACTTTCAGAAGTGAGAAAAGGAAAATAGTATTCTAATTGGAATTGAAATGTATGAACAAATAGTTGGTTATGAAAAAGAGTCTAGCATATATAGAAAATATTGGCTGTATCAGGAAGATTCCATTAGAGAAAAGTACGAAACAAATTGGCTCTAGGAAGAGAATATTCTACTGAGGGTTTTAGATTTTTTTGTCCTATTGGCAATAGGGAGTATTTGAAGAGTTTTGTCCTCCATGTGAAATGATAAAACAATGTTTAATGTGTTGGTAGGATGCAGGATGGAGTAGATTAGAGAAACTTAAGACACAGAAATAACTTGGAGGCATCCTTTAATACATCAGTATGGGAGGTAAAGGCCTGAATGGGCGTAGCAATGGGAACATAAAGGAAGTAAACAATGTAAATAATACTCAAAGAAAGCATTTTAAAAATGACAGAGGTTTTAAAACCAGATGGCTAGAAAAGGGGTGAATTTGTACTCTCTCACTTAAAGTAGACCAACTGCATTGAAAATTGAACAAATACACGCAGTAGAGATTACTAGAGTTCACTAGGTGGTTCCATGTAGTGAGTCGGCTTTCTTCAAATTCTTCAAGGACTTAAGCTCCTCAATAGTGTAACTTCTCCATGATGTCAGACATCATTGTCCTCTGTTTGCAGCCAGCAGAGGGGAAAGAGAGAGCAAGAAGGCTGAACGTGGGAGGTTTCTATCAGTAGGACCAAAGTAGCACACAACACTTCTCAGTCCATCGACCAGACTCAGACATAATCCAGACCTCCCTGCAAGGGAGTCTGGAATAGTCCATTTCTATTTTTATGGACAACCAATAATTTCTCCCACATTCTTTTTTGGAAGGAAATATTTCTCTTATAAATATAAGTTATTTTGAGATCAAATAATGCTATACCTGCACCATTTTCCTTTTAAACACTTTTTTCTTTTTTTTTTCTTAAGAGAGATTTTTGCTATAGGGTGCATGCACCCAACAGAGAGACAGAGAAAGAGAGACAGAAAGTGAGAAATCACTCCCCAGGGGGATAGCCATACTGCAATTCCTTCTCCTCCATTCTCCTCTCAGAAATTTGGGCATGCACACACGAGCACCTGGCATGAGTTTTAAGCCACCGTGTTCATGACTCAAACCACGATTAATTACATGGGAGTCCAGCAACTTAACTATGACTCCTTCTGCTGGTTCCTTAAACTTTGTCTAATGCAAAAATTTCCCCACACAAATTTTTAATTGGCCAGTTATATTTACTGTTTATTTTTCAAGAATATACCTATTGAATTAAGTGAGGCGGTCCACTTATATTCTCAGTAACTCTTAATAAGATTGGAGAAGAAATATTAAGTAAGAGAGGTAAATCATCTCTTTCCTCATGAATTGGATTTACAATAGCTATTCATATTTTCTGCTAACTGCCTTTCTAGTCAGCAAATGTCTAGTCATGTGACTTAACATTCTACACACTGTGATCCCAATTTCTTTTTCTGGCCTTCCCTTTGTCTGGTCTCTACCACATACATCCTCATTGGAATATAAAGCAGCATTATTATTGTATAAATAGCAAGTTTGTAAGGAAGAAAAATGAAATAAAAAGATGTTTTAAACACTTTTTTGTATGATAGTTATTTTTTAAAGACTAGATTAATTTTAGAGAAATAAATAGGATTCTTTGCTGAGATTATACATGTGATGCATGTGCTTTTGTTGGCTGAGGAGTTTAGTGACAACTTAAAAAACATAATTTTGGCTTTCGTTTGGTTTCATATTGAAGAATCTCTTGCCTTGTACAATCAAAATTTATTCAACAATGAGGGAGGATATAGATGGTGAAAGATGTGTATCAAAAAAAAAAATGGAAGAACTGAGGAAAAAGATTTTCTCAAAAATACAAAGGGCCAGATTTAGAAGAATATTACAGAGAGGGTTAGAAGCCAGTTTTATTAATATGTACAGTATTAGGAACAGGAGTTCAAACTCCCTGTTTTATGTGATGGCATCTATTCTTGATTTAGTCTCATTATTGCCTTGCTGTACCCTAACTCCAGGATTTTAATAAAAAAAAAAAAAAACCTTCCATTCCACCACTACTATATTTTATTTTTACATTTTTTTCAGAGATTTATTTATTTCTGTTATAAGAGACAGACACACACTCACACACACACACACACACACACACACACACACACACACCGGCACTCCCAATAGGATCATCATGCGATCTACCCCAAGTGACAGCTGGCCCGTAATATAGGACACATGTGCCCCTCATGCTTAAGGAAGTCCCAAGATGAGAGCCTGGGACCATTCCCATGTGGATCCAATTGTATTACTGCTGAGACACCAGTCGGCCTCTACTACATATTTTAAAAAGTAAAACAATAATGCTCACTTTGACAGCATTTATACTAAAATTGGAACAATACAGAGATTAACATGCCCCTGTGCAAGGATGTTATGCAAATTCATGAAGCGTTCTATATTTTTTATTTCATGTTAAGTAAGTTCTCTTTAGTGATGTATAGCAAGTGAATGTTTAAAAAAATAAGAATAAAATAATAATAATAATCTGGAAAAAAACAAAAACCTATTTGCTGATAATGATGTGGATAGTAACATCTTTGACTTGACTGATATGCGTGGTAGTCATGCTGGAAAAAGAAATGTTATACACTGTAAAGATATATGTGATTAAATGTAATATAAATAATAAAAATTTAAAAAGTAAAACAACCGTTTAACCTCATAGGCTTATAACCAAGACTAAATGATACACTACAAGTTAAATGCACAGTGCAATACCTCTTGCGCAGCAAAAGTGCTATAAATGGGTAAATGTCCATAATCATTTCTCAGAGAGAATGAAAGGAGGATTCTTCAAAATGCCTTTAAAATGATCACAAAAAATCTATATCGTTTCACAAATTTCTACAGAACCTTCTCTAATTGAAAGGCCCAGCTCAGACAACACTATCACTTATCACTTGTATGATGATACGAAATGAGAAAAGTGTCCTTTGGGAACCTGCCATGTAAGTCCAACGTTCCTAAGACAGGCAAGATGAACAATAAAGATAGACCTAAATGAAGTCTACATGCTAAGAATTTACATTAAGTACAAGAGATAAATGCATTTTTGTGGTTTTACTTCTTGAGACCTCTGGTATGATGAATTTGCTCATTGTGTTTGTTTTTTTTTTTTTTTTTTTTTTTTTTTTTTTTAAAAAATAGAACCTTCTAAGACATTATCCAGAGACTTTTTCAACCCAATCTATTTGCGATTGCATCTTTGTTTTTAAAGAAACTATTTTTGGAATTGTTGGTTTAGAGTTCCAACTCATGGTGTTGTCAAAATTAACTAGATAGAGATATTGGGCAGGATGTAACTGAATCAGCTAATGGAACTCATGTGTTGAAGAAAAATTGCTTGACAAAACAGAACCGAAGGTCGAGGGTGGGAGAAACACCCTTGGGAATAATAAAGTGATGCAGAATAGCCTTAATACATTGGAATCTGAAAAGGTTTTATATCTTCTTTCTTGAAAGGAAATTAGATTTCTGTAAGAGGTTATGCATCCTAAAAGAGTAGCCATCTTCTTGTTTATTTTCAATTAAATTCCAGCCAGATAAGGGATCCTCATCTTCTTTTATATTGACTTTGCCGACTGCCACTGATCCACGCACTAGATAAACAAAACATCTTCCAAATTCAACCTACTTGGGATAGCTACTTTTTAAAACAGTGTTTTAAGAATCAGATAACCTGTCATATCTTTTGGTAGGAAAAGAAAAATTCCTACGTATTTTGGTGGCTGAAATCACCTCTGAGGCCTGAGAGAAAGCCATTGAACAAAGGAATATTTCATCTCATTCTCCTGGAATACTACCCTTTCTACCCTTTAAAATAAGCAAACAAGGAAATAGAAGCCATTTACCTCCACTCACCCTGCCCAAGTGCTCACAACTCTCATTCATTCATTTACACATTACTGAGCTCTGATGCACAGAGCACGGTGCTCAGCACTGGAAGCATTTTTTCTTTCACAAGTTTACAATCCAACTACAGTAGGCAACCCCTTGGTGAAAGAATACTTTCCAATGCGTGATCTGCAAAACAAGCTTACAGCAGGATATAAATTATGATCTGTATAAAAGGCAGAGTCTTTTGAGAGCAAATGAACTTGACAAATACAGAGTTAACTCAGGGTTCTTGACTAGGAAATTACTGGATGATGTACCAGCAAAATGAGGGAGAAAACCAGAAACACAGGATGACATAAAACTCTAAAAACAGTAGTTTCAAGCCCCACCCCATCCCACCCCACCCCCAGTTCAGTGAAACCAAGTCCACTTGTAAAGAAGGTTTAGAGAGCTGACTTTCAGACTGAAACAAGCAGAAACAACTGGAAGAGAGGCTTTCATGTGAAGTGTGAGGGCTTAAACGAGAAGATAACCTAGTTGAATGAACTGAAAAGAGCATCTTTAAAAATTACGTAAGTGGAAACATTGTCAATCATTATTAAGAAGAATCAGGGGAACCAGCAGTTAGCGTAATGGCTATGTCGCTGGACTCCCACGTAGTCGACCGCGGTTCGTGTCCCGGACCCGGTGGCTTAAAACTCACGCCGGGCGCGTGTGCATGCGTGCCCAAGATCCCGAGAGGAGAATGGAGGAGAAGGGATTGCAGCGTGACCATCCCCCCTGGGGGGTGATTTCTCGCTTTCTGTCTCTATGTCTCTCTCTGTCTGTCTGGCAAGCGCACGCGCCCTACAGTGAAAATCTCTCCAAAAAAAAAAAGAAGAATCAGTACTGGATTCTCAGTGAACAAAGGTTTACATTGTAATAGGCTGAGCATTTGTATTAGTTTCCTAGGATACCCAAACAAGGTACCATAAATTGGGTGACTTAAAACTGTACTTGTCTGGAGGCCAACAGGTGGTATGGTGGTTAAGGTGCTAGACTCTTAGATGGCTGACCACAGTTCAAGTCCCAGACACGATAGTTTGAAAATCACACCAGGAGCATGTGTGTGTGTGTGTGTGTGCTCTCATGTGCGCCCCAAATCCCAGGAGGACGATGGAAGAGAAGGGATTGTGGTGTGGCCATCTCTCTGGGGGGTGATCTCTCACTTTTCCTCCCTCTCTATCTCTCTCTCTCTCTCTCTCTGTGTGTGTGTGTGTGTGTGTGTGTGTGTGTGTGTGTGTGTGAGAGAGAGAGAGAGAGGGGGAGAGAAAGTGAGAAAGCAAGCTGCCAGCTTGGTGACTCGAACCATAATCAGCCATGTGGGAGTCCAGTACCCTTAACCACCATGCCACCTGCCAGCCCCACATAGTGTGATTTTTCAGGCACTTAGTCTGGGACATGAACCATGGTTAGCCCTGTGGGAATCCAGCTCCTCGTCCTCCACACCACCTGCTGGCCCTGGTGTTATGCTTACCTTGATTGATAAGTTTGAACATGCACAGGGTTCTAGGTTGGAAAAGATATTTCTTTCAGAATATTAAAGGCATTGCTTGGTAGTCTTCTAACTTCCAGTGTTGTTCAAGTTGGGAAGTCTGATGCAATTTTCATTTATTTTTTTTAATGTAAGCTCTCATCTCTTTTCTGCCCTCTCTATGGAATTTTTATAATATTCTTTTTTTGTTTTTGCTATAGGCCACATGTGCTTGCTGGAGAGTGAAACAGAGAGAAGGGGGGAGAGAGAGAAAGGAAGTGAGAAATCACCCAGTGGCTATGCTACAGTCTTTTCTCCTTCATTCTCTTGGAATTTGGGGCACACATACACATACACGGCATGATTTTCAGGCTGCTAGGTCCAGTACTCAAACCACATAGCCAGGTATGTGAGATCTAGCTGCCTTAACCTCTGTACCATTTGCTGGTCCTAGAATCTTTTCTTTTTCTTTTCTTTTCTTTTTTTTTTTGGAGAGGTTTTTGCTATAGAGCACATGGGCTTGCCAGAGAGACAGAACGAGAAATCACCCCCCAGAGGGGATGGCCACGCCGCAGTCCCTTCTCCTCCATCCTCCTCTCGGGATCTTGGGCA